TCACTCCACACACCTGGCCTAAGTGTACTACTGCACAAGTACAAGAGACATAATTATACAATGCCTAGCCCGTGCTCCACCCCTCCCCTGTCGCTGAGCCAAACCCACATGCCTCCACCACAATGAAAGACAATTATAACAATTTATAATGCTAAAACATTCAAATCACAACAAAAATCGACAGAAACTCTAATATACATGAACTGAAACATTAAATGCCGCTGAAAAAGTGCGAGGTTCCAGGTTTGGTTTCATTAAAAGAAAAGGAAAGACATGTTGATTAGTACAGCTTAAGAAGACTAAAGAGTGCAGGCAGGGTAGAGTGGGTGGAGACGAACGGGGCGGGAGATTTGTGACAGCAGGATAGCTAGCAGTGCAAAGAAAGGTTTACAATATGGGACTTAGACCTGCTATTATGTGCGGTGTGGAGAAAGTGGAACAAACAAAAAAACAGGAAGTGGAGATGAAGGTGGCAGAGCTGAGGATGCTTAAACTTTCATTGGGAGTGACCAGAATGGAGAAAAAGTTAGAGAAACAAGGCAGAGATGGTTTGGACACATGCACAGGAGAGACGGTAGACAGTGGAGCTGCCAGGCAGGAAGAAAAGAGAAAGACTGTAGAGAAGCTTCATGGATGTAGTGAAGAAGGACATGCAGAGCGTTGTTGTGACAGATGAGGAGAATGATAGATCAGCTGTGGTGATGATCTGAAAGAAGACAAAGTCTCTACTCAAGTGCATTAGCTCTCAAATAAAAACAAATGTTTTATTAGTGGCTGTAATCATTGTCATGGATTTGCCTAAGGCAGTGGTAAATCTATAGGGCTGAGGTTTGGATTTTGCATTCTGCAGACAGTGAGCAGCTTCCACCACTTTTCACATGCACTACACATAGGTCAAGTGTGTATGGTTATCTGCCTGATGTATACATTGCCTGGGCCTTTGCAGGGTTAGAGGAAGAGAGGTGTAACGCAGGTCAAATTACACTATATTACAGTATTCAGTTCAGTTTAGGTGTATTTATATTGCCCCAAATCACAACAACAGTTGCCCCGGGGTGCTTTAAATTGTAAATTAAAGACCCTACAGTATTAGGGAAAACCCCACAAATCAAGCAACCCCATATGAGCACGCATTTTGCAACAGGGAGAAGAAAAAAATGTACTTTTGACAGAATGAAACCTCGAGCAGAACCAGGCTCAGAGAGGGAAAGCCATCTGTCATGACCAGCTGGGGGTTGAGAGGTAAGAGAAGAGAAAAGAAAAGAGATTGTAGGGAGGCAGGACAAAACACAGACTAAGGGAGAGAGAAGACAAAAAGGCAATGGCATGCTGCAGTGGTAATATAAACACGTGGGCAGTGAAAAGAGGTCAGTGGAGTGAAGAAGTGCTCAGTGCATCTCTGAGAGCTTCCTTTTCCCCTCCTGCATGGCAGCTCTATCTTTAGCATCCTTTGTCTAATATAGCCACTATCCCTCCTCTGCATGTCTCGTCATTTCAGTGCACAAAAACTATTTAAAAAACAATAGCTACTCTATTTGAATCACCACGCAAAATTGAATGTAGTTGAACAACCAGAAAGTTATTACAAAATGTAGTTAAACTACAGGATTGCTTAAAAGTAGTCCACTATTACTTAATTGAGGCAACAGAAAGAAGTTAAATGGAAAAGAGGTCATCAGTCTCTCTGAGGAGCAGCATCTTTGCTGTAAAATGAAACTAGAATGACTCAAAGGGTTACTGTCAGTCAGGAAACGTGAGCTGGTTTCGAAAGTAAATGATTTCTTTTTTTTAAATCGGATGTTACTCATTAAAGAAGTGATTGTGTAGGAGGACGGGCGCACAGTGTCTTAAGGACAGGGTTAATGCAAAATATCAGAAAAACAAACCAAAGCTAACTGCACAAGATCATTACTGAAGAGACATTTACACAAAGACACCAGGAAGTTGCATTAAATTGGCATTTTCTAAAATTTAACACCAACATAAACATGCCTGTGCCTTGTAACTTAATAAATTGCACATCATGTATTGATGCACTTTGGACCACTACTGTCTATTTCAGCTGATGAAATCTACAGTAGCACAGATACTACAGGCCATAAGTACCCCAGGGGAGAGGCCAAGCTGGAGTCGCTTAGAATGCGGTGTGGTGTGTCTCATTGAGGATTCGTCCATGCATTCCTATTTCCTGCGCTTATACTGCGTCAAGGTAAAAAGAACATCATTACTGCTCACATTCACTCCAACCACTCAAACTAGCACATACGCTGAAACGTGCACGCTGCTTCCAACATGGCACAGCACCGGGCAGCTTGAAGTGTTTCCTCTACTTTGAGGTTTCCATCAGCAACAATAGGAAGATGGGTGCGCCTGTGCTTTTCCTTGTGCAACTCTAACAGCTCCTCTCATTCTGAAACACAGCGTGCCAAGTTACTGTGGGAGCAGGAAATGTACATTCCATTCAAGTACACTGCAGCGCGTGCTTTCTTCCATACTTTCCCCGCAGATGTAAGTGATCCTTTTTTGGCATCGGTGCGTGCCTTATGATTATCAGAGTGCCACTTTTAGGTTGGATTTGGGTAGATTTGCTGTGTTTTCGCAGGACTACCAGGTAGGCGTCAACTTTGCAAATGAGACTGAGGCAGAGGAGTTTCATCATACCGTGGAGGCTGCTTGTGGTTAGAATAACAACAAACATCTACACGTATAAATGCTCTCAAAGGCTCAGCCCTGTCTCGTATTTTAACACAACCTTTTTATTTACAGAAAAGATGACCAGCATGATTGAAATGACAGCAGTGGGCAGTTCAACGAGGGAACTACCTGCTGATGATTTGGAGTGAGAAAGATAGCACCACTTTGTGTCTTTAGAGTGAAGGAAAGAGCGTTAAAGAGGTGGTTCACAGTTTTGTGTTTTTTGTTCTCTTTAGAATTGAACCATTGCACAGTTTGAATGGGGAGAAAGATCTCCCTATGGACACATCTTCCACGGCAGCTCCCCCAGCTTCAAGTTCTGTATGTCAAACTCTACAGTGAATTGTTAATGGGGTAACTGTTAAGCTGTTATTAGTCATTAATAATAGCATGATAAATGACTCCATGTAATGTGTCTGCTTGGTGAAGTTTAAGGATCTTGACCCGGCTATGAGGAGGCTGTTGATGCAGGCCAAACTCACTGAAGAAGACTTGAAAGGCAAAGACGTTGCCGAAGCTGTTGACTGCATCATCAACAAGTTTGGAGGGCTGAAGGCTGTGCAGAGAGAGCTGAGAAACAGAGGTACTATATCCCGTAAAGTTTATTAGTATGTGCAAATATTTATTTACGTTTCAGTTTCAGGAAAAATACTATTGTGTATGTTTTTAAGACAGTGTTCTGTCATATGCACATAGGCCCAATCTCTCAGACACTGCCAAGATCTGCAGGGGCTTCCATCTATCTGAAGAAGGGCCCGTTGCCACCGGTCCCTTCCATCAAAGACAGCAACACTTTTCAACAAACACCAAAGGACATGGACACGGTAGACAAGAGTCAGACAAACACTCCGATTCCTTTCCCTCCAGCTCCCCCTCTGCCAGCTCCTGCAGACAGGATCAGAAAGAGTGCAAGTTTCAAAAATGTAAGAGGAAAAGATTTAATTGAGCATTCATACTTGTACACAGTGGGTGGGCTGAACAAACTTTTGTGTTTTGTGCTGTTAGGCTGGCTCCCGAAAATCAACAGAGACAGGCGACTTAATCCTGGCTGCACTGAGAGAAGCGTTCAAAGAAAAACGGATGCTTCAGCAAAGCAACAGCGAAGATGGAGAACCTACTGTTACTATTCCTAATACTAACCAATGACGGACTCTTTTAAGAGATCTTGGAAGTCAGCTTGTACTGTAAATGTAGTTAAAGATGCGGCTTTTTGGCTTTGATTGTCAAACAAAGCAGTGGTCAGATTAAATTGCCATAAGGCAATGTGGTAAAATGAAAAGCCACATTGTGCATTTAAAAAAATCTAAAATGCCATCATATCAGTACAGTATGCTAAGTCTTAGTTTAGAGTCATAGATGTCACTAAATTAGATAACGAAGGGCCAGATTTTCACTTCCCAACGTAAATCCCAGCTTCCTTAAATGTAGCCTACAGCAATATAAAGATAAGTGAAGAAACAGATGAATTTTTAACCACTCTTTTGCTTTAGTTTCTTTTCTGGAAATCTAGCTGAAAGTGTATGTTTTACTTGTCTTCTGTATAACATTTGTCATGACTGTAATGTTTATGTTTTTAAAAATTCAGATTTCTGTGGGGTGCAATGTTTTATGTATTTTTTAAGTGCTTTAATATACACCCATGGTGGAACCTAAAGAATAAACAAAGTGGAGCATGCATTATAGACAAGATATGGAAGCTCTGTTGTCCTGTACTATAACAGCACTGCCTGCTCTCAGTTTGCTTACAATTCAGTAAAATCTGACTTTACTTATCCAGACATAAACAGTGTAAAGGCCAAGGTCAAAGTCGACAAACAGGTGAGTGTGGTAAGTAATTCAGTCAATCGCAAAGGTAAAACCCCCTCTGTTCTTTTCAGTGATCTTAACTTTTTGTTTTAGATGCTTTTCATGTGCTATTTGTGGACCAGTGTTTTAAAAAAGGAGATTTGGGAATAACCTCATGCAAACAGATATTTAAACCAATGTGAAGCGGTGTTTCTAATGACCCCCCGCCTCCCCCATGATACTATATTTCTAAATCTCAAAAGAAGAAAATGAAATGGGGTTAAGGCATTCTTAGAAGTCTTGTTTCGTGGAGAGGTGGGGATGAAAGTGGATGAGCGCTAACGCAGAGAGGTGGGTGTGCGCACGCTCCCGCAGACTGAGTCGCTTCATTCATTTGAGTGGCCGAGCTGCTCTAAGCGTACTGCGCTCACCAAGCTTGGAAAAAGAGGCTTTTAAAACGGGGATCATGAGAGGCTCCTACACTCTACGAAACGCGCAGGAGAGGCCAGGTAGGACGCTGAGTCCTGTATTTTATTTTTCGTTATTTGCTCCTTTGTACGTGACGTTGCCGCGAGTCTTCGCTGGCACGGAGTACAGAGTGTGCTGTACGCGAGCAGCTGGGCTAACGGGCGGATGAAGTAAACAAGTGTGTGTCACGTAGGCTTGCTCCGGAGCTGTCAGCGCTTTCTGCCGTGCAAATGAGAGAGGCAGACTGCGGGGCAAGCCTAGGAAATGTGTAAAAGACGACTGCTTTCAGATGTGTTGCAGTAAATAATGGATTTTTGTTACTTTTTAAGCGCTTTGGCAGCAGCTTCCTGCAGAGTCGCTGCAGCTGTTGCTTAGCTAGCTGCACGCAGCTGACAGCCATGGGAAGGAGAGCAGAGACTTGTAAACACTGTTATCACAGGGTCATAGTAGTTATGTGTCAAACATCACGCCCCAGACTCATCCCTATTACTGCCTGGGCTGTGATTCGGGAATATTTGATACATTTCTGGAGCTGGTCGTTGATCTGGCACTGCTCAAACTTGAAAAAGTTGATGGTTAGGAGATAATTATGAGCATACTGGTAAAAGGAGAACTTCTGGCTCTTCTTGCATTCACTATGACCTCCGGGTAGCTTTGTCCTCTCCCACGTGGCTTCATAAGTTTGTAATCCATTAACCAATTATAAGAAAACTTCACTCTTGCTGTTACACCAGGGTCTCAGAGACGTGTGGATCTTTATTAGCAGTAACTCGATGATTTCCAAAAGCACCTCCTGTGAAGTCATTTTATTAACACGTGCTGTGCAGCAGGGGATGGTGCACAAGGACTAAAAGAGATTTCAAAGTCTAAACAGACGCTCAGGTTTTGTCACTCACTGCTTACTACTCTGTTTACTTCTGCTTGCTGTTCTTGTTCCTCCATTACTCGTTTGCACTTGTGCATAACAGCGGCACTTGGCCTAGTTCTAATGCTATGTCCCATATAATACAACGTTTATATTTACTATAGGAACAGGCTCTTATGTAATTCTATTAGTCACGTATCCCGATGAGTCTGTTTAACGTTGCATAAGACACCATGCAGGCAGGTACACAGATTTCCTGCCGTTCTTTTTCGCAGCTGTGGTCACGGAGGTTTAAATGTGTGCAGGCTGAGCTGCTGTGGCAGGTGTACGAGGGATGAGCAGAGCTCAGGCTGCACTGGTGAGGAGACGTGCTTCACTGGCTGTCCTTATTATGCATAGACACAGAGTACACAGAGAGAGGTGGGGCTGGGCAGAAAAGCAGGAAAATCATACTGGAGTCAGTCTATCTGTGTGCAGCTGATCTGTTTATACTGAGGGGGCTGTTTAGTGGCAGCTGATGTGCATATTAAGCTGCCCTTGCTGTTTAACAATAATCACTGCTACTCAGGGTGGAGGGTTGGAAAGGCACTGAGTTGGCTTAGTCATGAGCACCAATATGTGGTTATAACTGCAGATTGGCTAGGAATATGTTCCAGCATGTGCAGCAGAGTCTTAACAGATTATATCATTATGTTTAGCCACAATAGCTGTAACTCCTGCAGGATATTTATCTCCGGGGCTCAGAGGCTGCCTCAGACGCTGCAATAAGACCGCCTTCTTTCACCATCCTTCTCTCTGTAATAAAATACCATAAAAAAATCTTTATATTTGGACATTTTCATATCCTCCAGATTGTGGCTCTAAATCCCTCTAGTCCCTTCTTAAAGGCTTGGTCTCACTCTCCCTGCACTTCCCTCTCCCTCCTGCCCTCCCTCTCTCCGTCTGCTCTATATCTAGGTGAAAGTTCACCCGCTCACACAGACTTGCAGCGAAGGCTTGATGCAGGCTGAGGCTGTGTCATGTTTATGCACTGAGTGTGCAGCTCCACGGTGCTCTAATCTAGCTGCTGTTTTTGCATGTGGGAGAATTCAACCTCAAGGTCGTTGGAGGTGTTTTTGATGTGCCTTACTTGGTCTTTGTTAATCACCCCCGGATGAAACGGCTCCTCTGTTGTTCTCCACACTATTTAATTAAGTATGAACCGACAAAATGATTCTGGGTCACACCATTCATACAGATTAGTTACAAAGATATTACTCTTTTAATCTGTGTTAATTGACAAAAGCAGCACATTGGCAGCATATTTGAAAAGCAGAAACAGTAAAAAGGCTCTATTTTTAGCTTCTCTGCTGTGAAGATTTGCTGATTTTTGCTGGCTTAAAGGTGATTGAAAAGGAATTTCAATCACCTTGAACACAGGAAATCGTGAGCAACATTTCGTGTGATTTTTCAGTCCTTTATCGGAGTCAAAATGGAATCAAATGCTTAATAAAGCAGACAAGACCACAGACTTTTAATAGCTTGACAGCTTCAGGCATTATCACTCAGCAGTGTAGACAAATCCTTTCAGATAAGTCCGAAAATCAAACTCTGTCTTTTTAGGATTATCTTGTTGCCAATTTCCTACAGTCTAAAATGAGCCAGAAAAACAAGGGCAAACACTGAGTAAAAGTACCCGAACAGGAATTTGATAATGGTCATTGAGAATTTCCAGCTTACCTCTTAAACAGTGAAACCATTGGGACAGCCTGGGATCAATTTCATCTACAATGTCATGTTCTCTAATGAATGCGTGTTTTTTACATGGTCAGCAGGAAGCGAGGTCCTGATGTGTAGAGGTAAAATATCCGGGCCTACAATGATATTCGGTTATGGAGTGAACATAATTTTTCTTCTGTATGATGCTTGATGCACAACACACATCCAGCGACATAAGGTAACTCCTCAGTGGTCGTCAACATTTCAAGGTGCTAAATATGAGTGTTTTGTATTTTTAAAATGTCTGGTACTCCCAATCAGCTTTTCCTTATTGTCATGGTGGTACTTGATAACCTTGAGCTACCCCTCCAGTGCGTCTGCCTGCAGACCGACTCAGACTCCACCGTGTTGGACTGCAGATATCTATAACAGTCCTTGTTGTGCTGGTGCAGGAGGGGAAACTCTAACCAGAACCTGCAAGCTCACCACGAGCTACAGAGCAGAACAACGACTACCCAGCAAGTCCAAAGATGGTAGTGTTGGAGTCTATCTGAGGGAGGAAAGAAATTAGGGAATGCCTCAGCTGCAGGGATTGAAAATGGGCCAGGTCATCTTTATTCCATCACTCTTAATTTGGATCATATTCGGTTTGCAGGACGGTTTCATGTGTATTTAACAGATTTCAAAGCCATCTCAAACAAGCTGCTTCGAGCAAGAAGACAGAAAGAAAGTGTTCTCAAACCAAAGCAATCCACGTGAAATATGGGTTATAAAGGCTGCTGTTTGGCACTGGTTGTGTAAATTCGGGGTGAACTTTGGCCCACATTAGATTGGAATCTGTTACATATTCCTCTAAACGATGCTGCGGGTCAAAGCCTATATTTAGGGAAAGTAGGATCATAGTGGCCCAGAAACAGGACTGCCATCTGCTCTCGTCTGCAGCCCACATGAACAGAGTTTCAAATCCAGATACTTTTCACTTAGAGATCTTCTGAGATGTTTTTTGTGGAAGAAATTATAAAAGCAGAGGAGTAGACTTAGAACTTGTACATATACCAAATATTCATACATACATACAAAGAGTTTGTTAAGGATTATATTGAAAAGGTCAAATGTCTCGGGTCATTGCGGGTCATTAGATGCTGTATTTTAGCAGGATGAATTTAAGGACTAATTTATATAGTCGTTACTGGACATTATGTATTTGTTATTCATTTATAATTTACATTTATCAGATATGCCACTTGTGTTGTTTGTGCCATTCAACAGATTAAACTGACACAAACTTTCCAAGAATAACTTTTACTGTCCCTAAAAGCCTCCCTAGGCTGTAGCATGCATGCTTGAGTGCTTTTATTTGCTTAGAAAGCCAAATGTTTGAGCATGTCTGTTGATTTCCTGAAGCCCTGAAGTGAAAGGCTGATGGGATTAGTGCTGCTGACATGCTGACTGCTCTCAGACACTCCTGCCTGCTGACCTTTTGCCTAATGACCTCTGGTGACACTATAAACGTCTCCTTACAGATTTGTCCTCATTGTAGGGCCTGCTTTGGTGAAGCACAGCGCCCTCTGGTGTCAGAACCTTGGTATTATGTTTGGGCTTGTCAGCATTGAGGATAAACGATGATTACAGGATGTTATTGAACTGACATGACTCACTTATTACTTAAAAGTGCAATTTGAGTCTTCTGTTCATCTAAATTTGTCACTGAGTTTAATCTGGGGCTGCAGGATTGATCTTTTCCTGTCTCTGCAGGTTTGTGCTGCCGTCTGCATTTTCTCACAGGTTCCCATTTATTGTTTGAGACATAAAAACTGTCAAGCAAGCACATTGTGGCTTCTGACTTTGACTTTTACCCAACTTATTTTCAGTTTATTTATGATGCATGGTAGACTTTACTACAAGTGGGAGCAAATAACTGATTCACACCTACCTAACAGAAAATTAATCTGCTTTTTTTTGAGAAACAGAGAGAAATGTGACGATGTGTTGGTCCATGTCCATGTAAGTTATCCTCCTCAGACCCGAGCTCTTGGTTTAGATGCATTTTAGATGTGATGACTTCGATCTGATGAGAATATAAACTTATCCTATTCGAACAGGAATTTGTTACATTGTTACATAATTGCTGTAGCTTTTTTAAGTATTTGTGTTTTTAAGACAACACACTTATTTTTCAGTATAACACAATAATGTCTGTCTCTGTGTTAGCACTGAGCTGAAGTGGACATACGAGTATTGGACTGTTGCTGTATATGTTACCCCGGGCCATCTACTTAGTGCCTTTTGTGGTATTTCTTACTGTAGCTATGGTAATGTTACACAGCTCAGCTGTGAATCCTACCTCAGTGACTGTTTCACCACTTAATTGATGGCTTTAAATTGTCTGGCAAAACTGACGTGCTTGTGTTCGACTCTGTTTTACTGAGGTCGGTCAACGCATTGGCCAGAAACATCAAATCCTCAGCTAATCTTGGAATTATTTTCCTGTCTTCAAGCTCATTCTTGTCAAGCTCAGTCTTTACTGTCACTCAGTAAAAAGCCAGGCTCCTGCCTAAATACGTAAAGCTGCTAAGGCCTTATTCCAACCGTCGGCCTCTCTTGTTTAACTCTTTCACGCTCTTATTTTAATTCCAGAGGCGACTACACTTTCGAAGTTGTGGGGCTTAAACTTTAAAAAAAAGCCTTCCTCTTTATATCAGTTTGGCTCAATCAATGTTTTGTTTAAAACGACTGCTGAGAACTCTTTTTTCACAGGTTACCATTTCCTTAATTCCCTGGCCTGTTACGTTTGGCTAAGTAATCCCTTATGCTTGAATCGTGTTTATGTACTATATGTTGGGGTGGTAAATACATGTTTTTTGACAGACTGTAAAGCTATTTGTAAATGTGTGTTTAAAAAGTAATAGTTATTGTTATTCTCCCCGCTTTTTATTTTATTTTTTATCGTTTTTATTCAGAAACCCCTAGGCTTTTCTTATATCATTTTATATAACAGTAAAAATAAACTACTATAATTTGTCAAACACTATACTTAATACTATACTATACACTATATTCGTGTTTATTAACCAGTTTCATTTTTTGTTTAAAAAATATTTACATCTATCAGACGGGAGTTTCTGCTGTATCTTACTTTGCTGGCAACTTTTGCCACATGAAGCATGTGTGATCAGTGAGGCCCGTGACTGGGTCGTGTAAAGCTGAGGCTTCCATGGTTTTCACGATGATGTTGAGCTGAGCTCCCAGTAGTCCGCATGCCCTTCTTTCCTGCCCATGCGCCTCTGCTATTGGCTGCTGGGCCTCTCGTTCCATTTCTGATTGGCTCAATTTCTTGCTGCATTCACTGCCCATGTGTGCTTCATGTGAACGCCTAAAACTTGTTTTTCACTTAGCGTCTTGGAATCGTACGTACGTAGTTCACGAGTTATTACGGTAACTTGTAAACAGTCGCGTTTTCGTGGATTTTTATTTTTATTTATTCATTTATTTATTTTACAGATGTTGGATGCTTGTGATATTTTAAACACAAGACTTTAAAACATAAAATGGTCAACAAAAGCATTGAACTTTATATGACCCTGGAGTGAATTGAGTATTTGCTTGATTGAGTATTATTTCGGTAAACATTATAATGTCTTTGGAGTATTTTGTCTGTTATTAACACAATTGCATTTGAATTCTTCAAACTCAGTTGGGGCTCTTAATCAGACTTCCATACGTAAAATCATGGTGGGAGTTTTTATGTAAGCACCTTGGATAATACTGTCACGTGAAATATGTAAATACATTAATTCACGCTGACATGGGGGAAAAGACGACTGAAGTATCGTTACAACCTGTACCGGGACATTTTGTTTTCTTCCCTCCCTCGCTTTCCGTTGCGCTCAGTATCCAGTCCTTACGGTAATGGGGAAACTGCTGTTTCTCAGCTGATATATAACATCTACCCCCCTGCAGAATTTCAGTGCCAGGCTGAAGCCCACCGCCTCAGTTTGTTTTCAGGAGGGTAAAGCAAATGACCCAACAACCAGGATGATAGACAATCAAGAGTTTATGGTGGAGGGTTACCCGCGGGAGCTCACCCAGAACCCGCTCAGGAAGATCTGGATGCCGTGCAAAAACGGCCACATCGCTCATAGACGCGGTAAGATGCAGCAGGTCGTCAAGTGCGCAAAGGACGTGTGTCGGATATGCGATTTCACTCATCTGTGGATATGATCTCGTCTCTGGTCTCTCTCATTTTTGTTCTGTTTTGCACGTTTAATGGTCAGATTTGTGCTTGAACTTATCACATTACGCACGGCTGGTTGAGATGTTGCGTGCTCGGTAATGTTGCATCAGGCGCATCTTGTCTGGTCCATATTTCTCCTGACATCACATGCAGGGAGTGGGATTCTGAATCAGCTTAGCATCCGATTACACAGGTCTACTGCTTATGTTAGTTTGTCTTGTAGGTGTAACACTGGGCAGCTGTCCTGTAATGTGACCCGGGTGCTTGGTTTTGTGTCTGATTTTCTCTCTCACTTTTTTATTTATTTTTTTATTTTATTTATTTATTAATTTTTTTGTTGAGTCATTGTCTGCCTTCCCCAGAGCTGTTTTTAGTTTTAGTTAAAAAAAGCTATAGCTAGTCCAGTCCCGTTTTGGCATAACATACGTTATCTTATCAGTGACCATGTAATAATATTATGCTCCTTAGAAATCAGTCTAAATTTCCTTATCTCAAATGTATGTGATGTGTGGGAGTGTCTCAGTACTTCAAGATATTCATGTGGATGTTTCTTTTTTTTCTTTCTTTTTTTTTTGCATAAGCAGGTTTGTTTTTGGGGTTTTTTACTATACAAACAAATAACAGCAAAAAAGTAATTAGTAACAGAAGAAAAACGGAAATCGCTAGTTTAAGTCTTTAATTTAAACACTTGTTTGGGGCTGTAACAAGCAGACCTTTGTGGTGGTCCAGCTGAATTTCAGCCAAGTCTGAGTTGTTGCGACTGCAGAGCACAAACCTGGCATTTTCCCACTTAATTAATCAGCATGTGCTGCTGGTTAGCTATTAAGGAAACATGTAGGCTTCTGTTCTGCTGTCTGAATTTATGTGCTCCTCACAGCCTTGTTTTTAGCTGCACTTTTAATTGTCATTTTTTCACTTTTTCTTGATCTCGGCCTGTCTCAGACATGTCGGAGCTGGCCCCCAGCTCTCATAGAGCCCAGCGAATATAAAATGCACATGAAGGATTTTAGTCTGAAGCACGTGGCTTGCATTTTTAAGCAGTCTCATTGTTTTACCTCATCTTTATTCTGTAGCAGTGCATATAACTGTTACAAAAAGGGTTTTTTTTCTCCAAAAAAGCCCTCTGGACTAATTGGTGTGAATTATTGTTGATCACCATATTAAATACGTGAAAAGCTTTCAAATTTAGTTTCTTTTGTCTCTCCGTCTCTGTCAGTGTGCATGACAAACTGCCCGACCCTCATTGTGACAGTTGGACTTCCAGCCCGAGGGAAAACCTACATTTCAAAGAAGCTCACACGCTACTTAAACTGGATAGGCGTGCCAACGAAAGGTAGGAGCCACTTCCTTAAAATCATGCATAAAGTGACAACCAACATTGCTCTGTGTAAACATGACAGCCGTCTCTCAACAGAGTTCAATGTTGGCCAGTACCGGAGGGAGTGCCTGAAAATCTACAAATCCTTTGAGTTTTTCCGTCCAGACAATGAAGAAGGCCTAAAAATCAGACGGTGAGTCTGCACATGGTTTTCTGGATGTCATGCAAAGTTTCATTCCAACCATTCCACCAGACTTCACCCATGTGTTGAAGAGAGGAGAGCTCAGCTGTGAAATTACCTGCTGGGTTGATCGGTCAGATTGAAAACCTGGTAGCTTTCAGCTATTGTTGGCACATGGATTAACCGCTACAGTTTGGTTTCATGTATAAAATAATACATTTTTCTTTCACGATGTAAAAAAGAATGCAACAAAGCCTAGAGTAATCCCAGTACAAATCTGAAATGTAAAAATCTCTCGTGTCTTTCCACAGTCAGTGCGCTTTGTCAGCTCTTAATGATGTACGGCAGTACCTGAGCGTCGAAGGAGGACAGGTTGCGGTGAGTCCTTGATTCTGTCCCTGACGTCTGCTGTAATCCTAGAACACAGAAGCATATAGAACGGCTGCATAACGCTTGTTTTTCCATGTTGTTTCAGGTCTTTGATGCCACTAATACAACAAGAGACAGAAGAAGGACCATCATCATGTTTGCTGAGCAGAATGGATACAGGGTATGTTTAAAGCAAGATGGTACTCTCTTTTTCTTTTTTTTTAAATTTGGATTGGCAACCTCAAAGTTAGCTGTATTTTCTTGTCATTTCAGGTATTTTTCGTGGAGTCTGTGTGTGAAGACCCAGAGGTCATTGCCCAAAATATAGTGGTAAGCTTTGTCTCCTTTCATTGAATCCAGTAGAATCAAAACAGGACTTTTAAAATTTCTGATATACTTCCCCAAACATTGGCTGCTGAGTCCAAAATAAAAATCAAGAGAAAATTTAGCTTTAAAATTCATCAGAACTGAGTTGCAGACATAGACTTTATATGAAAGATGGATGTAGCTGCTGTAGCATCACCAGTTGGTTAGTGAAGTCCAGTTTTGAAGCTTCGTGTTGAGCTTTTTAGAGTGCTGCTGTCTTGGTGTTTTTGAAAACACACATCATGATCGAGGTGTGGATGGGACTCAGAAAACAAGGATGCTCGCCTGAATGGTTGTTTAGTTGTTGCGAATGAGTCTTGAACCAAGCTTAGACTTTAAACTAATTACGAAGGACTTCACTGAGGTTGCAGACCAAGACAGAGAGAGTCAGCATGAGGCAGCAAACTTCCCCTTCCTTGTTTCGTCTGCTCAAATCCTCTCCTTGTGTTTCCTCTTTGTAGCAAGTTAAGCTGGGAAACCCAGACTACATTGACTGCAACTCAGATGAGGCCATCAAGGACTTCATGAAGAGAATAAAGTGTTATGAGTCATCCTACCAGCCTCTGGATGAGGTTCTCGACAGGTGACGACATACAAAACATGAAAGCGCTGGATTTTTAGCTGGATTTCTTGCAACATGAGTTAAACATTAGGTTTGATGTATGTAGATGTTGAATAGTAGGCTCTGACACAGGGATGCAGTTCTTCTTTCAGTCATGAAAACAAATGGAGCTAGAGTTATTTAATTTTTTTGCATTTTGCACATTTTACCTCCATCTTGTATCTAGGCTTGTTTTGCTTCTTTTCACAATGGAGCGGGTTTCTGTCTTTATCAGCTGCACATCTGCTAGTTAGGTCATGGCTGCAGTTACATGAGAGGGTCAAATTTTAGGATAGCCCTACCCTCTCACAGTGTGACCCATCAGTAGAGTGGATGAAATCAGTTCAAGCTCACAGGTGATTAACAGAGCGTCTCGTTTCAGGGATCTGTCCTACATAAAGATAATGGACGTGGGCCGTCGTTACCTGGTGAACCGTGTCGTTGACCACGTCCAAAGCCGAATTGTCTACTACTTGATGAACATCCACATCACACCGCGCTCCATCTACCTCTGTCGCCACGGTGAGAGCGACCTCAACATCAAAGGACGCATCGGAGGAGACTCGGGCTTGTCTGACAGAGGAAAAGAGGTCAGTGTCTGTGCATGTAGAGAAAATATGGCAGCACATATGTTTCAAATCACCGAGTTGATCTAATGCATCCTTCTGTGGTGCTCTCTTGCTGTCCAGTTTGCCAAACGTCTGAGGAATTTCCTCCAGGAGCAAAACATCAAAAATCTTAAAGTGTGGACGAGCCAGATGAAGAGGACAATCCAGACCGCGGAGATCCTTGGAGTGTCGTACGAACAGTGGAAATCTCTCAATGAAATCGACGCTGTATGTCCACTTCAAGTTTTCCTTACTTCTGTGCAAAAGCCTCTGTGGAAACATTTGCGTAAATGCTGAACATGTTTCCTCCTCTCTTTCCACAGGGCGTGTGTGAGGAGATGATGTACGAGGAAATCCAAGAGCGTTACCCTCTGGAGTTTGCCCTGAGAGACCAAGACAAATACCGGTACCGCTATCCGAAAGGAGAGGTGAGCATAAAACTTATTTTTTTAAGGATTTTTTTTAGTTGTTTTTTGGTTGTTTGAGTTTTAAAAACAGTTGAGTGTGACTGATCTGCGAACCTCATTCAGTCATATGAAGACCTGGTTCAGCGGCTGGAGCCTGTGATCATGGAGTTGGAGAGACAGGAGAACGTTTTGGTGATTTGTCACCAGGCTGTCTTGCGCTGTCTTCTTGCATATTTCCTGGACAAGACTGCAGGTAAGAAGGACTCAAAGTAGGTAGTTTGAAGTTTTTTTTACTTTACCATCAGAGTATGCTTTTTAAAGTCTGACCCTGAAACTTACTATAACTTTCTGTCACCACAGATGAGTTGCCTTATCTTAAGTGCCCTTTGCACACAGTACTGAAGTTGACACCAGTGGCTTACGGTAAGTTCTGTAAATTAAAAAGCTTCTAACACATTCACAGTTATGCATGAGTCCTTAAATTCTATTCTTGTTGTATCATTGGAAACAAAATTTCAGCTTGTATTAACTTGTATCAAAAGCGGTTAGATGTAAACTTTAAGATAAATATTGTGAAAATGTTTATCAAAATAAAACACCTGAGATATTAAAAATGGCTTGCCAGTGGGCGGGAACATAATATTATATTTATTTAGTATATTTAAAAAGGAACATTTCTGTATTATAAGTAACTACTGTTTGCTCTTACGCAGGATGTGAAGTGGAGTCTTTCTGTTTAAGCGTGGATGCTGTAAACACACAAAGAGACAGACCAGAGGTAGGTGTCACCAGCAGCACTCAGACCTTTGACCTCACTGCATTTTTACCCTGTGACCCACAGCTCAGTCAGGAGGCTCCCTCACACTGTATACATAGGAACCACGACAACAAATAATATTCAATGAAACAAATAATACTCAGGCAACATTATTACAAATGTTTAGATTCTCTAAGCTGTGGACTCAGTGGTGTTTCACACTCTTTAGAGAAAAAAATTCATATAAAAATAGAATTTAAAGTTTGGGTTAGTCTGTGTGCAGATCCAGTATAAGGTTTTAGGGTTTAGAATAAATTTGTGTCTGCATGTATTGCTGATGCTCATTTCACAGTACAAACAGGGGTCTGAGGGATCTGAATGGAGAATCCAGAGAATTGATCTGTCAGTTGGCTGTAATTTTGTATCTGCTGATATCTAATCTCAGAGCACAGGTTACCGTGGCAATATCCTGCTGAGAACAAGCCTATTCATTTATGTCCTCTGTAAAGGATATTTGTTTTTGGTCTATATCTTTTGATTTATTTGAGCTATGCTAATAAATCCTGACTAGGGATGGGTATTGATAAGATTTTCACGATTCCGATTCCATTTTCGATTCTGTTTAACGATTCGATTCTTTATCGAGTCTTTTTAAAAAAGGAGAACACTAAGGTCAATTAGCTTAGAACTTTGTTTTACATCTTCTCTTTGAACAAGAAATTTAGGAGTAACATGGCCTTACAAACCCAACAGTGAGATCTTAAGAGATCCACAGCCTACGGCTCTTCAATGGGGTGTCACAGGGTCCCCAGGAAAAAAAATGTAAATGTAAAATAATAAAATAAATATTCTTCTGTAGCAATTACACAAGAATATCCAGTAATGTTCCTGCCTACAATTAAACACATTCACTTACCAAAAATCGGGGGCATCTGCTGCAAATGGGTTCAAGCCTTTTACCACAAACTTAGTCACTGCTCTGTGACGTTCGTCTATCCTGGCCTGAAAGGAGACGCTACCAGTAGACTGCAGCGACAACTGCCAGCATCTGAGCCAGACTCGGTCTGTCTCTCTCATCATGGTCACCTAAATGCACAGTAATGGCAGGGTTTGTAATAAGGCAGATCGCACTAATATAATATGCACTGTTAGTTGATTATTTACCTGCCGCATTAACGGGAGAGGACGTGCAAACGTTACCGCTGCTGCTGGGTTGAGATTCACGAGTCTGGAGCGCAATTAAAAACACGACATTCACTTAAGGTTATCGTGTGTTTTGTGAGCAAATGCTTTTGCATATTCGTAGTGTTTCCTCCCTTAAATGAAATATCTACTTTGCAAGTATTGCAAGTTGCCCTGTTGTCATCCGTTCTCGTAAAGTTATAACCAAACTTTTGAGCGTTTGAGCCGGCTAGGTGCCGTGTTTCCTGCCAGGTAAATGACGCTCCGCAACGTGGTGACGTCATTCGGGGCGACTGGAATCGATAAGGGAATCGTTTGCAAAAATGGCAAACAATTCCAAGGAATTGAAACAGTGGGAACCGGTTCTCAACAAGAACCAGTTTTCGATACCCATCCCTAATCCTGACGTACTAAACAGAGGACATCCTGGGCTTTCCATTGATATCTCTGCTTTTAGCTCCAAAACTTCAGTGGGAAGAGGAATTTTTCCTCGTTTCTCAGGAGGATGTATTCCGATAAGAAGTGAACCACCTTCGTAGTAGAGAAAACAAGGGTTAACCAGTCCTGTTTCATATTACAGACCTTTGGTCTCTCAAGAGGCACAACACCTATTCCAACATTTACTGTAGCTCTCACTCCTGAGCAGGCCTAGCAGTCAGTACTAATCCGTCTGTTTCTTCTTCGCACAGCGATTGTAAACTTTCAGTCACACGTTCACTGTCTGTCCTCCAATGATCCCTGACAGCAATCAAAACAACTGTGAAGTCGTTTATTATTGACATTTCTACCTCTTTTCTCATCAGCTATGACTTTGATTTTTTCCTCAGGTTTGCCATCTGAGTAAGAGCTGCATGCTCAGATGGCTGTTTTAGGATAACTAAATGTGTGCGCTCATGAACATGTACCAATAGCTTTGTGTTAGATTGTGGTTGTGTGAGACGTTGTGTTTGGAGTTAGGCAGGTGGTTGATAGTGTCAGAGTGAGTAAAGGGTATATGTATGCTAGTCAAACAAAAAAAAAATAAGAACAGAAATTGCACGTTTTATGCTGTGAAGTACATTTTTAACTTTGTTTTAAATCTACTTTCTCAGCACATGATGTTTTCAGTTCTGGTTGATGTGTAATTTTACTGAACACAAATGAACTCGTACACCTCAGCATTGATTCTGTTTACTGCAGTGGTCTCACTGACTGAAGTCGACCCATCCTGTGTTATTGTCTTAAGTTTAAATATGTAGCATATGTGTGAACACAATGAGGAAAAATAACAGGGGCACTCCATCAGTGTTTTTAAGTTGTTTTAATGGCATTTCAAAAAAATTAATTTATTTCTGATTGTGGCTGATTTGTATTTACATTCATTATTTATAGACGTGTATTTTATGCATAATGTAGCTTGTTTTCTTAACTATGTGATGGAGACTGTTGCTTTAAATCTCAACATTGTTGCTGTTTCTAAAATGATTCAGTTGCACTATTGCGATCTAGGCTTTGTGTCTGTGCTACCAAAGTGAACATGTCAAACCTCCAATAGAACCAATAAGTTGTTTTACAAAAAATCAGCATTAATGTTAACTTGCTGCTGGATACAAAAAGACTGATTTAATTGAATGTAACATCATTTCTTCTCAACTGTGTTGAGTCTTGCACATTGTACACATAAAAATCTAGATAAAAATAAATACGTTTGTTTCTCACACTACTCTTTTGGTCAAAGTGTTTATTTTGTCAAAGCTAAATTACACAGAGTGATTATACTTAACGCAGAAAACTGACTTCAAGTCATACATGTCAGTGGGGTGTGGGTAGATGTCTGATCAGCGGCTGATATTAGCCGTTTGGCGATGTGTTAACACTGATGTTTATAACAGCTGAAAAATGTAAATTGAGTGTTGCTGTGGTATAATTTATGCATGGTTTCTCCACCAGAGGGCACTCTGCAGCTTCCCTGTTAGCAACACACATTTGGAAGGCCACAAATAACAACCAGCGGATCTGAGTAGCCGGGTTGAATAAATAACTACACATTACAAAAGTATCTGTCAGTGTACATGAATATTAGGTTTTTAAATAACCAAATATCAGTATTAACAAATCTGACATCAGTCGTGCTCGAGTGTGGAACGGAATAAGTTATCAATAATTAAGCTGTGTATCAATACTTGAAAATTAAATGCTAGCTTCTGTAATGCCCTTTTAACACACATTAAAAATCTGTTCGACTTTCGTACCGCTAAAGGCCTCTGGAATATGTTTTAATTATTTGAAATAAACAGTTTAAACAGATTTTTTTTTTTTTTAATGTCATCATTAAGAATCACTGTAGCTGCACTCACAAGGTCTGCTAGTACCACCTCATGAGACAATGGCGCATTCTTATACTGAATATGGAAATCGGGTAATTAATGAACAGGTGAATTAATGTAAAACTAAATGTAACTCAGTTTTTTCCTCTCGTCCCTCTTCCAGAATGTGAATGTGCAGCGCAGCACTGAAGACGCTCTGCAGACAGTCCCTGCTCACTTCTAACCTCCTCCACTTCCTGTTCCAGCCGAGACCTAATCTGACTGTTTTTTTTTAGGATTTCTGAACAGCCTTCACGGTGCTGCTCAGCTGCTGAATGAGGCAGCTTTTTGCCTGTCTCAGAGACATCTTTTTACACTCTCACTGTAAAGCACTTTCTTTAAATGTCCTCCATTTTATACATTTATTTTAATCGCAAAGAGCTTGACTCTCTTTGGGGGAGGGCAACAAAAGGCAGATGTGATTTTTGTTTTATATGTGAACCTTGTTAAAGGTGCAAAAATATTAACTTTAATCATTGTCTTCCATGATTATATTAATATTTACTGTATAGTGGGCATTGTGTATACTGCCATATGGGCCTGTTGTTCGTTTCTGAAGGTGTTTTTATATGAAGAAAGAGAAGGAAAAAAAACACCAGAAAAAGATCGAGGACACTAATCACAAATTGCTTTTTAAGTGTTTTCCTTTTCTTGGCTGTTAACGTTTCCTTTTTTTTTCTTTTTTTCTTTTTAACTAAATGGAAAAACGTGCCGTGACCGCTCTGTGTTATAAATGAAATCATTCCAGAGATTTAACAGCGAGCAACCCCCCCTCCTGAAAAAACATTTTGGGGGGTTGAGATATTAAATGCATGCAGCGTGTTTTCTCAAAAACGTAAGCTGATATGCTAAAAATACGAAATGAAGCGCTTCCATTGTTGTAATCTTATATACAAATAGTTTTGTATATAAGACTAAACGTTCAAAGGCTGTTACATAAAGCATTTTAAATCACTCCAACCTTCACAAATGAAAAAGAGTATAACATAAAACTGTGAAAACTGTAGGTGCATGTTTGTTAAATTTGTGTGTAAAAACATGTGTATTATACTTTTTGTGGGGTAATGGCTTATATTACTATACTGGGGGAAAAAATAACCCAAAATGCCTTTTGTGTTTCCAGCTGTTAGACCTCAATAAATTTGAATGTTTCTTGTAAAGAAAACTGGAGTTGTGTTTAAAGACTGAACAGAAATCACAGAAAATACAAAGCAGACTGGGGTTTTTTATTCGTCTTCATTGCCAGCAAATGTATTCTTGTTTCATCGACGACAGACTCGTCTGTGTACTTGTGAACTACAGCAAGAATCATTATCCAATTGATTGCATTCATGGGTTGAAGTCTGTAACAAAACAGGAAATTAATATGCATATAGTATATATATCGTCTATATATTTAAAAAAATTAAATTATCTGAAAAAAAAAAAAGATCCATATTAGCCTGTGCTCATGAATATTGATAACTCTTTTTAAGGACCTGCCCTGACTCGTTATATTCAAGGCAGAAATGAATGTTTCACACGTAAATCTTCATTATGTACAACCACCAACATTTCTGAGCACAGAGGGAATTAAAGTTTAAAGGCTAAAAGCTCATTGGCCTGTACATCATTACTGTACGTCTTATGTAGCTCAGCTTTTATTGGCTGATCATAGTTTGTCTCCTCTGATGTGAACGCTCCACAGTGACGGCCAAGATTGCAAAAAGAATGCATTTTTCCGAGTTTCTTCGGTCTCAGAACTGCAACAGAAGAACAAAAAGCAATGAAAATCATATTTTAACTCTTGGTCATCTTTATTTAAAGTTTTGCACGTGAAAGAATTACTGAAACTCACATTTTTGAGGAACTCCTCAGCGACGATGCGAGCCCTGGCGTTGACAGACAGCTTCATTTCACTAATCTCCTTGTCAATTTCCTCCATGAAATGAATGACAAAGTCCACTAGCTTATGCTTGTACATCTGTTCTGTGTGGAAATTGGTGATGAGAAAGCTGATGTCATAGCCCTGTGAAATTAAAGAGAACAGTAACGTTAACGATGATCTCATCACCACATTCACTTGAACTGAATGCTGTTGAGTTCAAAAACTAATATAACTCTCAATACTTGAATCAATGAGCTTGTTATTTGCAACTAAACTTTATCTTTTATTTGTGGAAAACACTGGAGGTAAAAGGGCAGCTGCTATTTTAACCTAAAACAACTTTTAAGAACATGTCGCTACCTACATAACTATATAAAGTTTTTGTGTTTAATAAAGTTTATGACACTTGAAGGTTCATGAAAGTTTTTATTTTTAATTTTCCTCTTGAACACTGCCCACCCCTTACATACTACATAAAAATACTTAACGAAAAGATAAACAATTAAATGACAGGAAAGTTCACAGTAAATTAAGAAAACATTATCTTTCATAATTACAGGACAGTCTGTGCAATGACCTATCATACGATTTTCTGTATTTTTGCACATTTATCATGTGCTAAATGACCCATTTGTGGCATTTATGCACCTATAACATGTTATAGGCATTGCATCAGTTTAATTTCACAATACTAACATCTCATTTATATACACAAAATTATGAATGACATAATGGCACCATGTTGCCCAGCAACCACCTACCAACTGACTAAAATCCTCTGATTAAACAATACTGATGTACTGTATGTACTGATGATAATATCATTATTAGTAATAATAACAATAATAACGATGCGGGTTAAATTTGACGTCGTCTTTGGTTTCTTTTGGCAAATGAATTATAATAAAATATGTGTAGAAAACTGCAGAATTTAAAACAGTTTTTTTCATTTTTTAAATATTATAATTATTGTCAATGGCAACAAAATGCCCAACACCTCTAATAGGAACCATCTAAGTGTGACTGATGCATTTTCCAAGGCCACTTACCTCCACTGGTTTCCTCCTCAGGATGAAGAAGTTCTCTGCTCTCATCATCATGAAGCGCATGAACTTGTGGCACAGAATCTTCTCAATCTCATCGGCCTAGAACAAATTAGTTAATTAATTAAAAATAATAATGGGCATTATAAACAGCTGTGACGTTTACATGAGTGTGTTAATTACTAACATCTGGTCTAAGTCAGGGTCTGCACTCACCTGCTTGACAGCGATGCTGACTCTGACAGAGTTGATGGAGCCTTCGATCAAAACCTTCTCCTTGTCATTACGGCTGATGATTACAGGCTGGAGGAGCAACTCTTTACTGCTCCTAAGAAGAACCAGAGAAACACACACGCAGACTATAAACACTATAGATCCGTAGGCATTGTGATGTTAAACTCCTTCAAGTTTTACGCTGTTGCTAGGCTCACCTCACTTCCACTTCTGGCTTGTTGTGTCTCTCCACCACTTGTGAGGAGAAATTCTCCAGGCAGAGGGCGGCCTGCAGTGTGGCACGCACAGCGTTGAGATACGGGCGCAACGTTGCTGTCTGAGAGTGAAAATCGAAGAAAAAAAAAAAAAAACAAGAGAATATTTTCTTAACCATGTCTGTCTATTCCCAGGTACAGCCAAGTGTGACTGGACAATGAGAGGTCATGAGTGTTTCATACAATTTCTCCTGCTTGCAATACTTGCTTATGTTCAAAAGCTATGTCAAGTCAAAATACAGTCCTGTCATTAACACCAAGATAAAGGTATCCATAACAGGAGAAAGAAACCACCAAGAAATCCACTACTGATGCTGGTGTAGAAGATATATAAAATCTCAATCAATAAGGGGGAAACCAACATAATGCATGCAGCTGTTGTAATGCAGGTAGCTCTGAGTGACACTGATTCATTTTTGGCACATGGACGACAGGAGATTTATTTAAATCTACTGTAAAAACATCCCCAAAAGGAAGTTGTCAGCAACTGCAATTTAGCAACTTCCTTTTGGGGATGACAATGTGATGTGACAGACAGATGTTATAGTAGGGTTAATGAGCATTTCACCCCTTATTAGAAATAAATTGTGAGAGATTAGAATGGATGTGGTCAAGCGAGTCATCTTTAACCATATGTATGTGTACACCAAGAAAACATTCCTAACATGGTCGGGGTTTTCGGGGATGACTGTGGCTCCATCCAAAGAGCATGAAAGGGCTGAATTGTTTGCTCAGTATTAAAAATGATGTGAGTCATATGTTATGGCATTTGCACTCGCCAGATCTAAACCCAGTTGAAAACCAAAGTAGGATTTTCAGTTGGCGAGTTAGCCCATAATGAGATACATACTGTTTGATGACACTTAAGGGATCCTCATCAAACATGTTTTTATTTTATTTTATATTGTATATTTTTTAACTGCCAAAAAATGGTAATGACTTTGCTCACTTTATCATCTGATCACATCCATAAATCAAAGTCATCAATATCACAATGCAGCATACACTCATTGGTCACTTTATTAGGTACACCTGTTTAGCTCCTTGTTAATGGAAATATTTAATCAGCAAGTCCCATGGCAGCAACTCAGTGCATTTAGTCATGTAGACCTGGTCGAGCAATTTGCTCAAGTTCAAACTGAGCATCTGAGTGGGGAAGAAAGGAAGCTTTAAGTGAGTATTTCAGAAACTGCTGACTGACTGAGATTTCCCCACACATCCATCTCTAGGGTTTACAGAAAATGGTCCAAAAAAAAAAAAAAAAAAAAAAAAAGGAAAAGAAATATACAGTGAGCCGCAGTTCTCTGGGTGAAAATGCTTTGCTGATGCCACAGGTCAGGTGACTGGCCACAGTGCTTCAAGCTGATAGGAAGGCAACAACTTAAAAAAAAAAACAAAAAAACAAAAAAACCTTCTCCAAAATTGGACAACGGTAGACTGGAAAAGCTTTACCGGTCTGATCAGTCTCAATTGCTGCTGACAGTTTCAACAGTCAGATGGTAACATCAACATTTGAGGTACACTACATGAGAGCATGGATCCATCCAGCCTGGTGTCATTGGTGGCGTGATGGCATGAGAATATTCTCTTGTCACCAACTGAGCACCATTTAAATCCATTTAAATCCACCATTTAAATCCCACAGAGAGTACCCAGGTATTGTTGTATACAATGTACCCATCTTCTGATGACTGCTTCGAGCAGGATAAGACACCATGTTTCCTAGCTCAAAACATCTCAAACTGGTTTTGTGAACATAATGAGAGATCAGATATGAATCCAGTAGAGCACATTTCTGATGCGGTGTAATAGAAGGCTTGGATCAAGAACATGCAATCAACAAACCTGCAGCAACTGTGTGATGCCATCGTGCCAAAATGGCCCAAAATCTGTGATGAATGGACCTTGTTCAATCTGTGCTATTAACATTCAAGGCACACCTGAAGCAAAACGTACTAGCAAAGTGTGCCTAAAAAGTGTTCGGTGAGTGTTGCCACATGCCCTACAAAAGTCAGTAAGACAAATAAAAATGTTAAAAGCTTTTATTCAAATATGCAACATGGCTTAGCAATAGAATAATTTTTTTACATAAGCTTCAGAGGGTGCAGCACCTCCACCCTAAATCTCTCCTTATCAAACATAACATCAGGTCAGCTGTGACAACCAGCTCGCGAGATGCAACCCTCCCTTTTCAACACCGCAGACAGCACTGTACGCTATTTAACAATTAATATTACTACAGAGTAAGGACCTATCTGTTCACACCATCAGCATGAACTATAACCAAACAGCAATCTGCCTTTTCTTTTAGCAAGAAAACTAGCTGGCTAAAATTAGCCTGTTAGCAATCCCGGTCACCTAGCTACTCTAAGTGTCACAATTTGGGGAGTAACAAAATCCGTTTATGGGTGCATTTTCCGTTAACGAACGGCTACAAACCCAAAACCCACAACGCCGAATATGTACGACTATTCAGCTATGTCGTTTCATAAGCACATATGTCTAATTTCTCTTACCATTTCTCAGTGTGAGGAGAGGCGGCTAAAGGCGGAAGTAGCTGCACTAACGGAGTCTCTTCTGTGAATATTCCGGAAATTATCCGCTGCTGCCGCCGCTGTGATGATACTATCGATCTGTAACCAAGCAAATACAGGGCCAGTATGGCTGATACCAGTATCGATAATAATACTTATAATTTATAAAGGAAGTGTAGCATTACTTATGTAGAAGTGTATCATGAGCTGTTTGTCATGACTTGAGAGTAATCATCATCAATTTGCAAATCTGAACATTCCACGATAATTAGTTAACACAACAAACCACACCTTTCAGGTTTTCATGTATATCGAAACTATTACGTTACAAAGGAAAGCAAAGTGAGTGTCTGTTGTAGCTAATTAACGTCTACCAACATTATAATGCACCGTAATGTGAAATGGAAATGGAGATGATATATCTTCAGGAGTGGGACCACACCTCCATACATGCCCCTTCCGGTTCTCTGTCTATATATGACCACTTGTACTACAAGCTGTTTGTTCAAATCCTAAATTGTCTCAATTTACGCTCACACCATCTGCCATTATCTACTAGAAACGCTGCCAAAACTTTGACAAATTAGAATTTAATCCCAGCTAGTATTTTAGTTTCCTTAAATGGTAAGTCATTCCAGTAAAGCAGCTAGAATTGCTTACGTAACTGGAATGCAGCTTTTGCAGTTGTCAGTAACGCCTGAAGAGCCTGCGGCTATTACTGCTTTTTCCGGTATTCTTGCTTTGCCTGGAAAGCAGAACAAGAATACCAGATGCTCATTTGATTCCTTTCCAATTCTATTTTTTCAGAGTTTGAGAGTTCTGGTAATACACAGTACTGCATGGTACTGCTCAGTGACACACACTTTAGTAAGCCCTATGCTTATTTTGAACATGGATAAAAAGAAATGCTTTTATGTGAGCTAGGCCTGTCTGCAACAGGATGCATTGTTCTGTTGTATAAGGCCATTCCAACATGTTAGCAGTTATTCTGGGTGATTTCCATTTTTTCTATAAAGTTAGGAGAACCTATTGCTATTTTTCTAACTTTTTAGTGTTTTGCACCCATCCATCCAATTTCATCTGATTATCCAATTCATGGTGGCAGGAGGGAATGGTTACCAATCTGTCACTGAGCTAAATAGAGACAGAAAATTCATCTTCACAGGCTTGGTGATGCAGTGATTAGCACTGTTGCCTCATAACAAGAAGGGCCTAGAGCCTTTCTCTGTTGAGTTTCAGTATTCTTTCCAGGTAACTGCATACAGTCCAAAGACATGTGTGGGATTAGGCTAATGTTCAACTCTAAAATGACCGTAGGTGTGTGAATTGGGTCTTTTGCCAGAAGTGAATTTATCCCAAGTGGCCACATCTGCTACTAAAAAGCGAGAACGTAAGTGACGTAGTAGCTCATCCATCTCACTATCCATCACAATTCACAGGTGGTGGCAATATTACTTGTGTGGAGTTTGCATGTGCTCACTGTGCCTGTACCGGCTTCCTCCCACAGTCCAAAGACATGCTTTTTAGGTTAGTTGGTGATTCTAAAGTGGCTGTGGATGTGAGAAGTGCTTGAATTGTATAGAATAAAACACTGCAGAAATGTTTGGTTAAAATGTGACTTTTAGTCTAAAGTGCTCTGAGTGGTCAGTAGAAAAGCTCCAAATGCAAGTACATTACATTAAAATCCATCCTAAGGTCAAGGAGGCTCAAAAACAGTCATTAATAGTGCAAATTCCTATTATTCACCGGCAAATGAAAGAGTTTGAGTTCAGGAGTATTATGACTACACTGAAATAAAAAGCATGAAAATATATGTATCAGTGTGTCACTGGACTGACTATATTACTTTTGTTAACACGGTGATAGAAAGGCCTCGATATCCAGTCCCACCACCCTTAATGTGGGAGTCAACAAATAGAACCACTCACAGCATGATCATTAATGATAAGATCATGATCATCACGTTTTAATATGATACAAGTGATATACGAAAAAGTGTGGCAAGATTGTATTTTGAGTTATCAAAAAGTTTAAGCAGGAAGAGTAGTAGTGGTTTTTGTGGAAGGATGAACGCTAGACACCTCTAGCTAAAGCAGAAGTGCCAAAATTGCAGTTCCTCTAATAGCCACTAGATGGTGTCTTGTAAAGCAAGTCAAACCTGACAGTCTCCCATGTTAAAACAATGCTAAATAGCGTTAAAGACCATGTTTAAAATATAGCAAAAAAAAAAAAAAAATGTACATAGGATCTTTTAAGATAAATATCAAAATTTTTAACAACAAAATACTAAAACATGAGAGCAAAAAAATTACTCCAAAACAAGTTTATAAATCTAAGTTTTAAAAACTAATCCACCAAGTCCACAGATCTCAGGCTCAGAGGGAGAGATGTCTTTTGTACTCTATCTCTATCTTTGTATGCTGCAGAGCCAGCAAGCCCTGATCACATGACCTCTGGGACATGCTGGAGATATATGGATGCAAAAGTTCACTGATGTACACTGATGCTTGTTTATTATCAAAATAAATCAAAACGAATCAAATAAAATAAAAAATCTTAAAATGTACATGGAAGTTCATCGGGAGTCAGTTCAGCTGAATTAGCAACAGTGTGATATGTGAGTATTTACAAGAGTTTGTCAGTCGTGCAAGCTTCAAAGTTCCAAGGAAGTCTTGTTAAGATAATAACCATCAAAACAAATGAGCAACTTAAACCCAATGAAGTAAAGACATGAAAAATATTCAGTCCAGTTCAGAGCATGACACAGTGGAGTTTGACTCAGTTTCTTAATCGATTTAAAGTGATAGAAGCAAAGATGAACCAGAGATTTAATGCGAGCATTCAAAGTGAAAAATCGGTCAAAGGTTACCCCAAGATTCCTGCGAGAGATGCTAGAAATGTGTATTAATTTGTTTATAAAGATAGAGGGGGCCCTTCCATGTGCAGCACATTGTGTGAAGGGTAGTGTTGATGGAATAAACAATGGCATGGAGGAGGGAGAACAGTATATAGGCTGTTTCCATTCCCTGGAGGTGATGTAACCAAGGTGACAGTGTGTTTCCAAAAAGTTAAGAGAGAAGATGGTTAAAGTTTTCCCTTAGCAGCTGCATCTTTTTGCTGAGGACTTAGATTCATCATTCTCTCCAAATACTATGGGCTCTGGGAAGTCATGATACAACTCCACATCTGTCCCCTGTGAGGCCTGAAAAAAAAGCCAACAGAGTTTTGAAAAGTCAATGGTGACACAATGCCACAATATATTCCAAAACCAACATTTTTTCCCCTAATTCCATAAAACTGTAACTCACCTGTTTGAGTGTGTTACTTGCAATTGTCTGGAATGCCTGTTCTAGATTTGTGGCGTCTTTCGCACTGGTCTCAAAGTAGGGGATGTTGTTCTTACTTTGGCACCAGGCTTGAGCCCTTTTGGTGGTCACCTGTGGATATACAATATCATTAATAATCATCTAAATTATACTCACTGGAGGGTGTCAGGCTGGACCCCTGTTTGCTTTCAGAACTGCCTTATTTCTTTATAACAACAAAGTGCTGGAAATATTCCTCCGAGATTCTTGCTCATTCTGATTTGACACAATCACACGGTTGCTGCAGATTTGTCAGAACAGTGTGGACACTTTGTAAATGCTCCGTTTTCTGTATTAACTGATCATAAAGTATGATCCAATGTTTAAGTCAAAAGTACAGATAGAAACTACATCACTCACTATTCTTATCTTCTTATCTTTAGTTGTGGGCCCACAAATAGGTCAGTTAGCCTAAGTGCTAAACTATCTGCCTTTATAGACAATTTGTCTACCAATAGACAGACAAATTTCTAAACTTTGAGATTACTTTGTGACACTTTATGGACATCAGCTATGTTTAAAACACTAGTTTATTAAGCTATGTACAAATGGCAAGAAACAAACATCTTTATTTATCCCATACAATAGCCTTTAGCCAATAGCCATAGCCTTTACTCCCTCTGCTCAGTATTGTAATTTCTCCTTTCTCACACATCTGTTATGTCCCCTGAGACGTCCAGCGGACGCGGAAAAAGCAAGAAGAAGTGTTGAGGCAGAAAAATAGTGAAGGAGGCACTTTTAAGAGCAGAAATATATTTTCTTTTAATTATTAATTAAACTAAAAGATGGACAAACTGCTATCAAAATAAAAACAAAATAAATAAACAAAATAAAACTTAGCAGTTGATTACTATACAAAAGAATGAGAAATGTAAAATGATCAAACACACCCTCCTCTCCAGAGAGTATGAGTAAAGAGCTCCCCTAGTGCTGGAGCTTTTTCTTCAGCAGCAGCTGAAAAACCAATATACAGGCTGTCACTGCCACTGATTGGATTTGTGACGCAAGACTGCAAACAGCAAGAGGCACCATGAGATGGGAGGTTCCCATCCCACAAAAACTTTGTGCAGTAATCTCCACAAACCAGCTGCATTGTTTATCTTTGGGCTTTTATCTTAGTTTAAAGATGCAGAATTTCTATAGGTCCTTTGTATTCACTAAAGTTTATCTGAGACTTCTAAAACACCATCAGTAGGCGTCAGGCAGAAGGATGGTGTCTGAGCTTTTTATAAACCAGACCGTACTCAGCAGAAAAGGCAGAACAAGCTTCCGGGGACTTATCTGTAAATTCACACTGCAGCATTATGGCTCACACATGCTGAGGCCAGTGCAGCGAAACCTCTATGCACTTGAATTCAGTGAAAAAGGTTTGAGTTCTGTTCTCAGAAAACACTCGAACTGGGTGAATATTTCCACAGGAGACACCTGTGCACCTACAGTAGCAGAACGAGAGCTTATCAGCTCCAATCGCTGCAACCTAATATCTGTGTCAGCCTCAGTTTCTTTAGTTTAAACTCCCACCAACGCTGGAACTCGCTCTATTGTCCCTGCTCAGGCTGACATGGCATGCAAGATGGACCTACAGCTTAGCATACATTTTAAAACTAAGAGAAGGTTTAACAGAGAAATAATTAAATTGAATGAGAAGATCTGGCTCTTCCAACCCTACCGCACTCAGTGCTTTGGACTTTCCTTCCTTGCTTTGATTGACAGACACTAGAAAAGGTTTTACTCTGCTTTCATTTATGAAACATATCAGAAAAAAATAGTGTTTTTTCACAAAAAATACGTGAGAGTCTTGAAAGTTTATCTTTAAATCTTATCCATTTATAAATAGACTTGAGAGACAAAATCAACCTTGATTTCATAAGAGGCTGCTTTATCTTTTCCCTTACCTTAGTCATATCTGTGGCATGTAAACAGTCATCACATTGTTACTAACACAACAGAAAGTTTACTGCTCCAGCCGTCTTACTATAATATTTAGCAGTATTTCCTAAGAGATCATCCTAATTGCTTTCTTATATAAAAACAGGCAAATGTTATGTTATACAGTTTTACCTGGTCAGTTGATTTCTGTCCCCTGATGTCTGCTCATTCAGGTACATTCATCATTGTTTTTAAATAATATCAAGTGGGATTTAGACAGTCGGTCAATAACACTTGAGGCAGTAATTTAATAGAAACACAAACACTCCCATCAGTCTTCATTTTAGTCAACATACATCTATCAGCTAATCTTTTAAAACACGAGCGCTTCGTTTACCATCATGAGCTGGAAAGCACCTGCATTCTTTCTGATAGGAAATTCAATACCAGTACTGGGAAGTAAAGTTATCTATGCTATGGCAGAGACAGCCTTCTAACAAACATACTGAACCCGGACCTTTTTGTCTCAGGAATCTCATACCAACCTCTCTGTTTTCCAAGTCAATCTTGTTGCCTAGCACCACAAATGGGAAGTTCTCGGGATTTCGAGGGCTGGCCTGGAACAGAAACTCTTCCTTCCAGTTGTCAAGCGATTTGAAGGTTTTTTGCGCTGTCAAGTCAAAAACCAGCACACAGCAGTCTGCTCCACGATAGAAGGCAGCATTCAAAGACTGGTACCTCTCCTGGCCAGCTGTGTCCCAGATCTAGGCAATGAAAGAGAAACGCAGTTAGCACCAGGACACCAAGACTAGAGATAATGCAGAACAACAACGTCCTACTAAGGACCTGGAAATGTCTTTTCTCAATAAAGCTGTGCTTGAAGCTTTAAACATTAAATCTTCATTTATCCTCATATGATCAAAGAGTCCATCTACTTTTTATGCCACACCTGCAATACAACAACCTGGTCTCCAACCATCACCTCCTTCGTCATGAAGTCTGCTCCTATTGTGGCTTTGTACTGGTTACTAAACTTCTTGATGGCATACTGGTTCATTAAGGAGGTCTTCCCAACACTGAGAAAAGAAACAGCAGCACAACAGATTTATGAATGTGGTTAAAGCTTTTTTTAATTTCTATTCCAAGTTGAGTTTAAATAAAAGCAGCATGTAGTATAGACAGGTTGAAATATGACTGCTTCAAGCATATCACCAACCATTTTAACATGTGGTCTGTATAGCAGTATAGCTGGTTATATTGTCTGTATTCATGTGGTAAAGGAAAATAAAACAAGAGTAGGGTAATATTATCCATCCATAATAAGAGAATAGATTCAGTAAATTCATTTTCATCTTTGATCAGTGCAAATACGTAATAATCCACGTGAGTGAGAGAGCGGTGATTGGTACGAGGAAGCAACTCTGACAATCAAGAAAAATGTTTGTTTCGCTCTCAGTTGTGGATATCTGATAAACAGCTTTGTGTTGTTATGCACACTTAAACCACCTTTATTAAGTAGTTTTAAACATTCCCTTAAACAGTATTTCAGAAACTAAGGTATAATTGTGCATAAAACAATAGGATTAACTAAGTCTTACATGCAAGATACATAGCTAATATTCTGACTGGCGACAGCTTATTGCACAACAACAACAACTCGTGCCAACGACGAAGTAACACACTTTAAAATTACATTTAAAATACATTAATATCAAAACCTCACAATGAATCTCCCAGGAGGACGACTTTCAGGAGCACCCTCTTCTTGGATGTCATTTTTCCACAGCTGCATTAAGACAAAACGCAAGAGAGTTTAGTTACTAATACTTTCCTGACTTCCTGTGTTGCGTTTTCATGGCCCTGCACCAATCATGTATGAATGCCACTCATTCCAGTCATGTACCTTATAACCTGTTTGGCAAATCAATCCAACTCCTCCTCAAACCAGGTGACATCAAATGTTTCAGCTGATTTCGGTGTCACTAAGCTGACAGCACACAGATTTCAATTCACTGTCAAGCTTTGTATGGTATAATTATGCAAAACAACCACAATCACAAACATAACATGAGTTCTGTTCAACATGCATTGATTAAAGAATTTGTTTGCCACACTGGATATGACTGATCTAAGCCGTGGCTCAGCCACACCCAGTGTGTCAACTGGATCTAACTGTTGTGTAATCTTTTTTGAACACGTAAGTGAAAATAAGTAAGTGAATATATATTGTACTGCTACCTTTAAGTGTCGTGATCAGCTGATATATTTTAGAGCCCAAAGCTTGAAGTAAAAAAAAAGAAAGAGAGAAATTAGATTGTTTGTATTTTTGAGTCGCTGTCTCAGTGTTATTTCCTGTTTCATTTTGATAGTCTCTTGTGTCACGTGTTTTGTTTTGCTTCCTTTTTCTTGTTTTCCTTGAGCAGTTTCAGCCAGGGTTTCTCATTTCCCTAATTAACTGGTGTGTATTTATTTTCTGACTCTCTCTCTGTTTATTGTTGTGCCCTCCCTCTCTGCTGTGTGCTCCCTTGTTCCTTGTGTCTCCCCCCTAGAGTCCTAGTTTTGTATTCCTGGCTCTAGCCCTGCCTTGTTTTGCGTTTTATTTTTGTGTTTTTTTTATGTAAAGACTCCAGCGTTAAAGCTTTTTTGAGTTCTTGTCTCACAAGTTATGCACCTGGATCCTTATCCTGCCTGCAGCACAGCCATTTCATGACAGATTTCATAAGAGGCTGCTTTAACTTTTACACAAACCTTTGTCATATCTGTAGTAAACAGTAATCACAGTTTTACTGACAAAACAGAAAAAACTAGTGCAGCAGCTCTCTGACAGTAAGCAGTATTTCCTTAAAGCTGATTCATAGCATACAGGTGTATTCCTGACTCAGAATATCCTTTTAGAGCTCAAGCATGCATTTTTCTACCAGTAAACTATAAGCCTGTTGTGTCTGGCCTAATTTGGCCCACTTTGCAGTGTGTTACATTTTGCAGTTAATGCATCTAAGAGGGAAAACATTTCACAAACTGAATTGTTGCTGTTACAACACTCGAATTCAGAGAGCTCTTTAGAACAACCCATTCTTTCACAAATGTTTTTAAAGGTAGACTGCCTGTCTCCGTGCTTGAGCTGTGGCAATGGGACTGAAAACACCTGAATTTAAAGATTTTGGGGAACGAGGTCCAGTAATTTTGTCCATATAACATATCTCAGTCTTTATACTCTGCACAAGGTCTGTTGGAAAAAAGTTGATGGTAGTGTCAGACAGAATTGAAAAAAGAAATCTGTTGCATGTATGGCAACAGATTTCATTTTGTCCTCAAGCTTGTTGGTGCAAGAAATAGTTGTTGTATGATCAGACAATCACAGGTAGCTGCGTGACCTGCAAGTCACAAATGAAAGAAAAACTATTCAACACAAAACAAACGTGACAGGACATGTTTGCCTGCAACGCTGGCACAAAGATGTCTAGCATATTTATTTAACATAGACTGTCTATTTAAAGACGTCAATATTCCCCCAGACAAAATTTCACAAAGAGGAAGGGGCATTTTACGATGCTTTTTATGGACAGAAGCTTTATCACTGCTGCGCAGGGAAAAAGCCTAAATAACTTTTTATGTCCTCCATCATTTTTCCTGAGGGGTGGTTTAGGAGTCATCAGCGGATCAGATTGTCTGTAGTTAGATCCCCAGCTTCTCTAGTCTGCATGTTGAACCCTGAGTTGCCATGTTTGCAGTTATCTTGTGGGGATTTACCCCGTTTTCATTGAAGTTCATTGTTCCATCCTGTGTTTGAAACTTTTGAGTTCAGGAAATTTGAAATGGGTGAACAAGGAAGTGAGTTAGTTCCAACTTGAAAACTGGAATTGCCACTGAAAATTAGAAGCTGTACTGCCCCTACAGGCCACTTGCTGCCTCTAAAAGTAAGGCAAACAATGCCCAACTAAATAGGTGGATTTTTCTAACTCAGATGGATAAAATTAGAGGCCGGGCTGCTTTGACAGTCATGCACTGTTTTAATTGATTGCTCAGCTAAATTTTCCTCTGTAAATTTGATCTGCTGAACAACAGATCAACATGTCCAACATCCTTGGGACAAGCTGATGCTTTTAAGAGAATAATCTGACCAATGGTGGTGCTTCACTTTTGGTGGAAAAAAATTACACTAGTCTGTTATAGTAGTTCAGTTTCTAAACTTGTTAGATCAGCCCTTTTGGTACCATTCAAAGTAACCCCTGCCCTACCATGTGATTGGCTGATTAGATATTTGAGCTAACAAGTAGTTGAACAGGTGTACCTAAAAAAGTAACTGATAACAATAGTTAATGACTTAAAACATGAAGCACAGTGCATTCAACACCTATACAAGTAGTTTTTTCTCATTTACTTAAAAAAAACCCCAAAAAAAAACCCCCATACCAATAACACTAACTGGTTTACAGTGAATTCAAACTTTGTGAACTGGAGGCCAAAGTAGATGGAAAAAGTAAAAAAACAAATGTATATCAGTTCTCTGCATCTGTGATTAAGGCTTCACACAATTACACACCTGAGGGGGTGTCTGAATGGAAAAAGAAACTGAGAATTTCATCAACCATACATACACTGAGACACAGAATGCCAGACTGTTAATATAGTCAAGAGTTTTATTATTTGATGTCCGAATTTTCTTTGACAACAATGTTTGCATTGCAGTAATTTTGTTCTTATAAGGAGGAGTACTACCAGGACAGATAACTGGATATTTTCATTAAATGGAAAGATAGAATATCCATTTGATTTCAGTCCATTATACCTTCACCATCTATACACTGTAATACACAATCCGTTAAAAATATTAAGTACTTAGCCAACCTGAGCTACAAGCAGATAGATAGAACAGCAATAACAAAGACATGACAGAAGACAGGTGTAAGCTGTGTTGGTGATGCATATTGTAATTCTATAGCGATGAAAGACGTCTGATGAAAGGACAGAACATATACAGCAGTAATAGTAGCAGTACAAGTAATGTTACACAAAAGGCAAATATTAATATATCAGGGACAATTAATCCATGTTCTACACTGACTTATTAAGTAGACGCAGCTTTTACTTTGAGTCTACTTAACAACATTTCTACTGTGCTGTTTAGGCAGTTATAAACCCTTTAAGCACAATCTTGAAGGGCAAAGGCAAAGATAATCTACCAGAGTGTTCAACAAATTCTCAGGACATATCAAAAAAGGAAAGAGTGAGGAATTCTAATTTGAAAGGCATCTGGCAGCAGACGTTGCCCAAAAACCAGTCATCCCTGTATAATTTTTAAAGGCAAAAAAAAACAAACAGACAAAGTGCAAAAAGAAAGAAGAAAGTGTTTCAGATTGGCTTCAAAAACATCATCAGCCAATTAATGCATCTGTATATATAGTTCAGCAAGATTATTCATTGACAGATAGGCAAAAGAAAGCAAAAGAGAAATCAGAGAATGCGAAACTTGGGATGCTGACATTAGCCAACATCTCCTCACATTAAAGATAATCAGCTAGGACATCTAGAGTTCCCAATTGCACTCTGAAAATGGCTCCATCTTGTCCCCTTAGCATGAATGTCGGGCATCATCTGCACAAATGGGTTGCTGGGACAGGAGATCACTCACAGGAGATCAAGTCAGGGACCGTGAGGTCAGAGTGGGGCTGGGGGGTGTCATTTTTCTCTTGTGTGATCTTTGGGCGCTGGACTCGTCAACATATTTTACAAGAGAACACTAGTGTATTAATTTGTGTATTAATTGTGAGGGGGACACATCCATGTGCAGCACATTGTGCGAAGGGTCGTGTCAGTGGAATGAACAATGGCATGGAGGAGGAAGACCAGTAGGGAATTCCCTTCCCTGGAAGCGAGGTGGAGGTGATGTAACCAGTGACAGGGCGTTTCCAAAAAGCCAAGAGAGAAGATGGTCCAAGTTTTCTCTTAGCAGCTGCAGCTTTCTGTTGCGGGTTTAGGTCCTTCATTCCCTCCCAGCTTTATGGGCCCTGGGAAGTCATTATACAACTCCACCTCTGTCTCCTGCAAGGCACCAAGAAAAAAGAAGTTAAGTAAAGCCGAAAGATTTTTTAAAATTCAACAATCACACAATGCAACAAGCCATTTCAAACCCACCACCAGCACACCATTAACCTGTAACTCACCTGTTTGAGTGCATTACGTGCGATTGTCTGAAATGCCTGTTCTACATTTATGGCTTCCTTCGCACTGGTCTCAAAGTAGGGGATGTTGTTCTTACTTTGACACCAGGCTTGAGCCCTTTTGGTGGTCACCTGTGGATATAAAGAGAGATTGAGTTCATCGACAACAACAAGCTAAAATAAGTTGTACAATACAATAACTCAATTTTCTGCATTATTTGATTATGATATAGGTATTGATATTTAGGTCACAAGCATACAAAGTCATATTATGCTTATAAAAAAAAAAAGATATTCCCAGTGCTGGAGGAAAAGTTGATTTTTCAGCTACATTTGGGGAATAACTGCTCAACAAGCATTTCTCATAGGTGAGTGCACAACTTTCAGGTGGCACATGTATCATTTGTTCTCACAAACTGCTTTTATTTTGGTTTTTGGATGTCTGGCGTGAATAGCTTTACTGAGGTATCAATTTGTCAATTCACATTGTAATGTTGAAGTCTATGCTCTGATTATGCCACTTCAAAGTGTGGATAAGAGTTACTTCAATGTTTAGAGTTACTATAGTTGGAAAAAAGCCACTCTGATATTGTTATGTAACACATAAACTTGAGGTGAGCTTTCCAAGCTTATACAAAGGCCCAGTCAAGGCATGCACTTCACTAGCCACAAGAAGCTCCTCTGCTCAGGTGAAGTGACTTTTGTAGTTTCACCAAGTCCTCTAACATTCCTTACACAGCAACCCCATCAACACCTGCGCTAATCTTTATGGTCACAGCAAGTCTTTAATGATTTAGTCTTTTCTCCTTCAACAGATCCACCAAACAAAGCAGCACAACAGTAACAGCCACAGTGTGCTGTGTGCACTTACAACTGACACGCACACATAGTTAAAGTCATTCTTAAAACAACGAAACTAGAACCAGGAATCTCATACCAACCTGTCTGTTCTCCAAGTCAATCTTGTTGCCTAGCACCACAAACGGGAAGTTCTCAGGATCTCGAGGACTGGCCTGGATCAGAAACTCATCCCTCCAGCTGTCAAGTGTTTTGAATGTATTGGGCGCAGTCACATCAAACACCAGCACACAGCAGTCTGCTCCACGGTAGAACGCAACACCCAAAGACTGGAACCTCTCCTGGCCAGCTGTGTCCCAGATCTAGGCAATGAAAGAGGAACAATAGTTAGGCACACCAGGATTAAAGATAATACAAAACAACAACTCTCAATAAAACTGTGCTTGAATCCATGAAAACATAAAGTTTCATTTGTCCTCACATAATTTAGTCCTCCGACTAGTTATCATACCACACCTGCATTGTAACGAGTCGGTCGTCCACCATCACCTCCTTCGTCAGGAAGTCTGCTCCTATTGTGGCTTTGTACTGGTTACTAAACTTCTTGTTCACATACTGGTTCATTAAGGAGGTCTTCCCAACACTGAGAAGAGAAACAGCAGCACAACAGAAATATGAAATATGCAGCAATTAAATTACTGTGTTTGGTGATATATGAATGTGGTTAAAGCTTTTAGAATTTCCACCAGCTTGAGCACATTGGGTATCCATCTTAATCGAGACAAGCTGATTTTAAATACAAGGATCCACTACATATAAGACGAATGATGACTGCTTCAACCATATCGCTAACCACATTAGCAAATGGTCTGTACAGCAGTATAGCCACTTATAGGTCGTAAAGCATGCGATAAAGGAAACTGAAATGCTGCATGCTATGATGATGTTATCAGTGTGTCATTCTTGTGGAACAAGAAGACACACTCAGCAAATTTAACGTGATCCTTAATCAGTGCAAACAATTACTGACCTGTGAGGGTGACAGAGCACCGATTGGTACAGGTAAGAGAGAATGGTGAGCAAGTCCAAAGAGTAAAGGCTTTGCCTCCCTCTCAGGTGTGGCTACCTGCCAAACTGCTATGTTGTTGTTATACATAAATAAATACAAGGACAAAACTAAGGTATCTTCACACAGTCAACAAACCATTTCAGATGCTTTACCACCACACTAGAGTGAAAAAGAGTCAACTAATTTGCATCTAGAAAACTCAGATACAAAACAGACCAGTGATCTGATTAAGATATCTGTGGGAATTCTACATCCTAACTCGTGAAATAACCAGAAACCCCTCTTAACCCTATACTACAGCCTGCCACGCCATTAAGTCGTTGCGGGCTGTGTCAACCTGAAATGTAGAATTTCTCAGGAGGTGCACATTAGGCTATGTTCTAAATTAAGACGTAGATTTCCTACTGAAGCGTACTAGAGAACTGTTTACATCATAACCTACAAATTCATCTTTCTGGTCAATCAGCAAAGAACCAGAGTGAACTTTGGTATTCTTTCCAAGTGGTCATATGATTCAACAAAACAGGGATCATTCCTATTTTAATTTTTGCAAGTTAAAATATCCAATGGCCTGGAGTTACATTTCAGCCCGGCTTAACAATAAGAAATGAATGAATGGTGGTTGATTCAACCTGTTTGGCCATTATGTTTTCCTTACATATAAAATACTGTAATTTATTGGTGAATCATATTATCACAGGGATACTAAAAAGATTTCAGTGTTCTCAGGTTCACCCAGCTTTAAGGTTTCTTATGAAACTGTTTACTAAGCTTTTTTTTAAATAAATTATTGTGAAAAATTAAAAGTTCCCTTGAAACCATGTTTGAATAACTGTAATATAAAAACTACTTTTGAAAGACGGCATAACGAGCATGAAAACTGAGCTTGATGGCAATAGTAGTGATTAGCAGCAGATAAGAGCTGTATATACAAGAAGCACAGTTTGTATTCTGCCTGGCGACAGCTTATTGCACCACCACAACAACTTGTGCCAACAAGGAAGTAGCGCAACGTAAAATTAAATTTAAAAGACATTAACCGCAAAACAACAATAGGAAAAAAAATTGAATAGTTTGTGTGACTCACCCTGAATCTCCCAGGATGATGACTTTCAGGAGCACTTTCTTCCTGGATGTCATTTTTCCACAGCTGCAGTAAGACAAAAAGCAAGAGGGTTTAGTTACTAATGCTTTTCTGACCTCGTCATAGCAAGTCACAACCTAACCACTAGCTGTCTATATACCTGGAACAACATAATCAATACAAAAAATAATTCAGTTTCTTTACAGACTGGCCTATTGGACAACTTTATGTCTTGAGTTTCATGGCCCTGCACCAATCATGTATGAATGCCACTCATTTCAGTCATGTGCTTCCTAAGCTGTTGGGCAAATCACGAGGAACATATCTCTCTCTCTCCCTCTCACTTCAACACACACACACACACACACAGGGAGGTTACTTCTAAGAATATTGACTCCTCCTCAAAGTCCAAACCAAGTGACATATGAGACATTTTCTGCTGATTTCACTGTCACTAAGTTGACAAACCAATGCTGCACAATGTAACGCTTAATACACCGTCAACCATTGCAAGATATAATTATATAAAATGACCACAGTCACAAATACAACATGACTTGGGAGACAACATGCAAATAGATGTATAAATAAAATTAAATCTATTTTTTCCCAGAATCTATACAAAAGTGAAAGACACATATTAGTCAATTTGAGGCTAAAATGTTGACTAAATTCTGGAGAATTGGACAAAACAACTGGATGTATGTCACTTTAGTTTGAGCAAGAGTGGTAGTTAACTGTTCTGCAATCTGTGCCTTTTCTGAACACTCAAACACTCTTCACTGCTCAGGGATGTGCACAATTTCCCCAATACTCATCAGAGATTTCAGCAAGAGCTTACCAAGTGCATGATTAAGTTAATATGTGTTTTATTATACTGTATCACCCCCTTTAAGTGATCAATTGTTTATTTGAGAATGCAATGTTTGAAATAAATAAAAAGAGGAAAATTAGATGCCTTGGTGTTTCACTAGGACAAAAAAAAGATATTTTGTCAGCCAGTATCATTATACAATGCAAGACTGAAGCTGCATCCACACAGAAAGTGATTTACTTCGACAAGAGAGCAGAGAAAGTGAATGGCATTCAGCGATTAAGAGCAACTAAGGGTGAAATAACAACTGACGAGGTAAAGTTGGTGGAAACCAAGAAACTTCACCACCACCAGGCGAGTGATTGAAGTAAGTGAAAATTAAGAGTGCACAAAACTGTTGCTTGACATATAATCTGGTAGTAAATACGTTAGAACATTACTTAGATAACCACAGCCTACGATGTCCACAAGCAACAAGATGTCAGCTTTGATGGGGTCGGCGATGAGTGCTTCGCTTCCAGTGTTGACGCAAATCTGACCTTATAGCAAATCTTTTATGTTCTGTCCAATTGTGCAGTGGGTTCCAGTGAAAATGTATATTAATGTCTTGAAGGGCTATGTATAAACCTTTCCCATACACAAATAGACTAGAAAGACAAAATAAAATATGATTTCTTAAGACACTGCTTTATCTTCTCCCATACCTTTGTCCTATAGGTGCTATGTAAACACTGATCACAATGCAACTGATAAAACAAAACCTGGGAAAAGTACTGCACTGTCAATAAGGAGGGCAGAAAAAGCAGATGTCTGGCAGTAACATGTAGCAGTATTTCCTCAAAGCTAAAGATGATCCTAATTGTATATTATAGCAGCATAGTATACAATTAGTAGTATACAAACATCAGCAAGGTTTCACCAGTGCATTACAAACATGGCCTCCCACTGGGAATTTTCTTTAAGAAAAAAACAAAACAAAAAAAACCTGTAGCCTTTATGATTGCTAATGTGCCTAAAATACCTTACTGCTCCAGTTAGATTGTGTACATGTTTAAACCCCCCCCAAAAAAAAACCCTTTAAATTTAAATGAAACCCGCAGCCTGATTATTGTTTTGAGAGTCAGAAATTCCTCTGAGCTGGAAAAGCACCATATAAAGATATGTACTGTATATATTATACACTGTGGCAGTGTCTAATTGTCAAGTCCAATTATGTTTCTCCTTTTGGGTGAAAAAAAAAAATACACAAATTGTATCTTGTTTTGGTGGTGAAGCATTAACCTTTTAGGTAACATTTAACAGTAAACATAAACACTTCATTTCAAATTGCATGCATCAGTTTACTAAAGTAAAACACAACCAGAAGCTGGAAAGCACCAGCATTCTTTCTGAGTGGAAATCCAATACCTGTGAAGCACAAAATAGTTGACAGTAGCATGAACAACAGCAACACACTGTCACGGAGGTGTGCTTAAATTAGTCACATGATTACAGCAGAAGCAGAGATCAGACATTTAAACTTTCATGAACAGCAGGTCCATGATTTCTCATTAACAACTACGATTTCTGACAGGCGGTTCAGTCCAAAATGAGATGGTGGCCTTTCACTAATATGATCAAAACAAATTAAATAATTTCTTCTGCCTGAATGAATATACAGTATTTCTCAGTTAAGAAATGACTGCATGAATTAGGCTCATTATTATTTATTATTTTAAAAACCATGAAGTTTTGGACTCCACCACAGTTTCTCTATGCTCATACATTTCTGCTCAGAGCATCTAGTCTTCACCTCTGACATGGGTTATAAATGCAAACCAAACAACACAAAACAAACCCTAAACTAAAAATAGTTTTGGAAAGCAGAGTTCAGACAATGTTCAGTCAATTACTCCAGGTCACAGAGGGAAGCCATCATCATTTGTCCTTGTTAACCAGCTTCTACATGGGAAACAGATGCTTCAGTAATGAAGGATCATCTTTTTAAACGTGTGTATTTTAGCTATAACAAGTACGAGTGAAGAGATAGATATGCTGAACAACTTCAAAAGACACACAAATTAGGACTAATCCAAACTCAGAGGGCTGTTTGCAGCGGAGGAGCAGTTTTTCAACTCCAACCACTTAATTAAAAAACTGTGCAAGACCATATGTGTCATCATACTGTGCACAGTATTTTTTTAAATGAAACAATAAGAAAATGGTAGATGTAAATGTCAGACAGCATCTGTCATTGAAAAGTAAAATACTCAAAACCTGGATAAATGTATAGCAAGATGTTTCTTTTCTGTCTCGAGCCTGTTGGTACAAGCAATGGGCGTTGTATAATTAAGACAACTTGAACGACGTGTAACCGCGTGACCTGTGAGCCACAAGCGAAACGAAACCCACTTAACGCATAATACAGACATGACAGGTCAAGATTCCCTAGCAACACTCAGACATATATAACATCTGTTTAACACAGCCTGTAGACAATAAGGGTGAGGAGATCGCTTAAAGGTCACACTGACCAGGATCAAGATGTAGCCAAAGAACACAGTGACGAGTAGCTATTCAGCCACTCGGTGATGTGTAGTTCTGAGGTAAAAATCCTTCTCTGTGTGCATGAGCATTAACACCGTTTAAAGACACCAATACCCCCCTTCACAACATTTGACAATGATGAGTTTTTTTGTTTTTGTTTAGGGTTTTGTTGTTGTTGTTCTTTTACGATGCTTTGGCCGACAGACCAACCCCGACTAGCCGGTCTCCTTCCTTGTTGGATTCGACCCAGAGGAGCCACAGGCCGGCCTTGTTTTTGCCGAAAAACACCTCACCACAATTAGCAGCTACAGCGTCAGGACATCCTAAACACTGACAAGTGGGCAGACATTATACATATAAAGAGTTTCTTGTCGTCTCAAAAACTTACTTTCAGCTCGTAACACACGGTAGAGGAGACTTGCTGACCGTATCGAAGCCGGCTGCGAGAAAACTAGCCGTTGTTGTGCAGCGCAGCTAGCGTCAGTTGCTAACTAGGCGTTACGTTAGCTAGCGTTGATTTGGCAATGTCCCGTTTGAGATTCTCAGAAAAGTTTCTGACGTCGACACCAACAAAAACCGTGTCGTAAATTCACGAGGTAATTTATCTACAAATAGTGTTTAAATTTGGCACTTGCCTTAAGGCTTGCCTACCTACAAGCCACCCAACCAGCTAACTACTTAGTTCTCCCTTGTCTTCTTTCACTTCCGCCTCCCAAACAACGCTTGTGCCCTACGTCAGACGTAAACAGCCAATAACAACCCCTTCTGAAATATTAATTAAGGCCCGTATAACTTCTCTATCCTCGACTTTCACAGCCCATTAAATGCCACAGCTCGGGTCTTTTCAGAGAAAACATTAATATTAGTACTGATTCTCAACCCTGTTGTCATTCATATAAAACAAACATGACAGACACGTATTAAAAACATTAAAATAATATTAAACTCAATTGTCCTAATTTTACCCATTTTATTTTATGGATTTCTTAGCTCACAAAGTTTTAAACTACTGCCTTTTAACAGTTTGAATTATTATTTGTGGCTGTGTCTATGGTGTATTTGGGCAAATGTTTGAAAACAAAAAACTGAAATCAGTGAAACAAAAAAGTATGTGACTATGAAAAGTGAAAATTTGGGCAAGGTTGATTTAGAAACTTGCCTAAACTCCTACTAAGTGTAAGCTGAAACTGAATTAGTATTCAGTATGAGTGTGACTAGCTTTAACTTAGTGGTCAAGAAATTAATATTTTGTTCAATAAAGTTTTCAAGTTTCAGAGTATTGGTATTAGGGTTGCACCAAACATAATACACAACAACTAACATATTATAAAATACTGTAAAACAGTTAAAATTCTTTAAGCGTAGATTGTGTTCGAATTGCAAAATTACCCAGGCTTTGAGCACAAATGCTAACCTGCTGATGTTATGTATTGATAGATTACAGTAAACATTAAACAGGCAAGTTGCCAAGCTTTCAGTTAAAAATTAACTCCCACACTGAGTCAGATCTGACCACATCATCACCCTGACTCGCATGATTTTTATCAGGTGTGTGCTTATTGTCCTGGTTGCGTTTTTTTCACAAGACCTGACTTTGCACTAGATAGGTCCCACTGGATGACATAACAGATAACTGGGCTAAACCTGACAAGTCTGTAGCCTGGATATATAATAGAAAGCCATGTTGGAGCTTTGTAGTCATTCTGAAGCCCCTTAATGCAGACTCAAGTAATTACAGTTCCCTAAATTGATAATAAATCGGCTTCAGAGCTGCTGTTCCACTTTATTCAAAAACACAAACAATATTTTAAATCTTCTAACATAATGAGTGAGATGATGAGCTGCATATTCCAAGTAATTCTACATAACTTTTACAAAACATCCAGTGAACATGAGCATTTTTTTTCAGTGGGAAACAACATTCTGGGGAGGCACCTTGAACTGATCTTAACTAATCTAACTCTGAAAACCTCCAACTACCATTTTTTTTCATTGTATGATTAAGATGATATTCTCCTAAGAACCAGCCTATTCATTTATGTGATGGACATTTGTTTTTGGGTTATATCTTTTGACTTATTTGAGCAACCCTACGAAGTCCTGGTGTACTAAACAGAGGACATCCTGGTCTTTCCATTGATATCTCATGTATTTCGGTGGCCTCTTTTAGCTCCAAAGAGGAAGGAAATCACAAAATAAGTTCAATAGGAAGATTCTTATCCTTGGTTCTCAGGAGGATATGTTAGAGTGGTCATTTTAATTATAGTGCATTATTACACTCCACCAGTGAGTCATCTAAGATAATGGTTGGATGGATGGAGTGAGTAGTCCACCACTAGAGGGCAGTGGAAATTCATTTTGAACAGAAGAACCAAGCGAACTAATGAACTCAGACCTTTTTCAAATGCATGCTGTCACTCTGTGTAAAACAGTAAATTTAACATTAATATTTTTCCTATTACTTCTCATTGGCTGCTAGTGTTATTTACTATATTGTCAGTTTTACTCACATGAATTATCTCTTACAGAAGTGCAGTCATGAAAAAGAAAGTCTTCACAGGACTCTATTAAGTTTTTTGAAAAACAAAGTACACCCTTACTACTTCCACAGGAATTAAGTAGCAGCAGGATCTGCTAATCACGTACACTTGATTAATTGATTATTATCCCCTCTATGAAAGCAGAGGTGTTTGTAGTTTGCCTTGTTTGGAGTATTCAGGTGAGTCTTAACAAAATACCACTATCTTCCCAAAAGTGGACATCCCAGAAAATTCACACTAATGTTGACACATATTTAAAAAATTTAAGAAAAGCTAAAGAAAAAAACAACAAAACAAAACATGAAGCACACCTCAGGCTCTACAGGCCTCGAATGGCATGTCAAATGCTAAAGTTCATGGAGCAACACAGTAAAAAAAAAGGTGGGCCTAAATTCCTCCAGATTGATATGAGATACTAGTAAAGTCATACAGAAAATGTCTTTAAAAATGGTTTCACATTAATATATCATCTCTCCATACTAAATGTCGTATGTGCATTTGTTCTCCTCATTACTGGAAGCGTGCCTCTGTAGAATCTTGATGACTGGGATGACTCTGGTGTTTATAGAGAAATTCCTCCCTTCTTACACCTATTGAATCTGGAGTCTTTATGGCCTCTTTGTAAATACAAACACTGCAACACAAAAGCGTGTGAGCTAGAAAACGGTTCATGGGTGGGAAGGCGCCACATACTTGGAGCATCTGCTGGATTTTCATCCTTGCAAACATTGTCGCATTTGCACCTTGATGATGGCAAAACGTAAGAGCTGCTCAAGGTGGGACACATCGTTTATATCATTAGGACAGACATATCAGCAAGGTGTAGAGTCTATTAAATCATGAGAAACAGCCATCAAAGTGCTTGTGTGTTTGAGATATAACGGCACTTTCATTCACATTCTTAGTGC